CCGACGTTGTTCTCGTCCTGGCCCGGATTGACAGGTGGAGGCGGAGGGGACGGCGGCGCCGGTGGACCTTCCGCCTGACGCTTCCTTCCACCTCCTTTGCCCGCATCTTTTTCAATAGTGGGCACCTCCGGTTGGTTGAAGAGAACACGGCGTTCCGAAGCGCGATCTCGATATCTTGGCTGCTCGGAGGTGGCGCTCGCTTGACGTGCCGCGAGCTTTTGGCGGGCCACTTCACGTAGATTGGGATCCTTGAGATTTTTCTGTTATGCAGAATTACAGTTCAGAGACACGAAATGAGAATAGGAAAGCATGCGAGCCTTGTGCAATTCCGATTCTTTGTTATGACGTTTTAGTTGATCCGTGGTCTTAAATTGTCGAGCGCAGAGCAGGCAAGTCAATGCGCTTAAGTCCGAAAACTCAAAGTCCATCTCCACAGGTAGTATGTCTGCATCGTTCGCAGGGCCAGAGGTGACAGTAGAAGAGGGCCCGGGTTTCTTAGAAGGCGCCTGGACAGTGAAGTACACAATGAGAACTGAGAATCCTAATTTTCTGAAGGCATAGCCAGGAAAGATAGGTCACCAGAGGAGACGGTAGCACAACACTTGTGTCTTTCGACAATTCTTCCTGTACGTGGTTCCATTTATTGATATTGCTAGCAGTCTAAATAATAAAAAGATCATCAAGTGAGGATAGCGCAGCCTAAAAAAACATACCTTCTTGCTCGCAATCAAAGGCGCGACTTTTTTACCGGTGGGAGCTGGACGAAGAGTCAGACGAATAATCAACGAATGCCTAATCTGACCTTTCGCTTCATCGTCCTCATCTTCGTTCTCGGCAGTCGCGTCCCCACTCCCCCCGTCATCCATAGAAAACCCCAAAGTAATTGCCTTGACGGGTACTAAAGCAAGAAGTGAGAAAGAAAATGAGCATCGTGATGCTTAAGAACCTGGTCCAGCCCTCCCTAATTTGCTGAAATTTAGTGTAACGGGTTTGTCGAACACTGGCAGCGTCGACGGAGCTGCTGGAGCGTTTTGAGGAACTGGCTCTACATCCCCTGAAGCTCTCAGTATGGTTTTGAACATAATGTTGTTCGTAGTTAATTACCTTTCGTTTTTTTCTTTTCCTTCTTCTCCTTAGCTTGAGAGGTTGATTGCACTGGTTGCTCTACTTGGAACTCAAGTTGAGCTATTGTCGAGTTCTCGTCCCAATACCGGACCAATGTGCCCTCCTCTCCACCTAGACCGACTGAGCCGGAAATACAAGCCTCGTCGCGAATCATAAGATTCGCAATAGGCTGAAAAGAGTATGGATGCGCGAATGACGCGGCGACAGGCCGGTCAGAGATTCGAAAACCGGACGGGTGTACTTGGGGCGACATCGTAGCAGCCAGTGTTGTTGCCGCGCACTGCAGTAATGAGATGACCATAATTCGGGGAGGGACCGAATAAATAAAAACCTGAGGATCCACAAATTCTACAAAAGCAAATCCCAAACTGGCCAATGTGACCTTGTCTTTGATCAGGACGATGCGCTTCATTCCTTTTGCACCGATGTTTCCAGGACCAGATGAAGAGAGCATTGCCTGATGAATGGCTTGGGGACCTGAAAGAGGATCAAGGCCACGGAATAGCAAGACAGCAGCTTGAGAGTTGCCGATGTCGCGTGTCCCATCGTTCAGATTACCCCGGTTCACCTTGCCCCTTTCGTGAGGACTGGCACTTTGCGAGTAGTCAATTTTGACCCTCCGTCCATTGTGCGGAAGACCAGTTTCAAGGGCTTTGTAAAATGCGGCCGTTGCCGATGCGCCATGGGACGCCGGAGGAGGGACTTGTATGAATGGGAAGAGAGGATCGACGAATGCGCGGGCATGGTCTGTTGTTGGGAATTGCGCAAAGCCAAAGCCCTTTGAGGCACCTTGTAAAATCCAAGAGCGGATGACGTTAATGGATGTGTAGAACTATAGATACGAATGGGCAAGTGCCTGATGATCTCTCTCGGATAATTGTGACTGATTCGATGCTGCAGCCATGCGAAGAAAGGTATTTCTGAAGCTGGAGTCGACTTGAGTCACACAGCGATGATGAGAAGAAACGACAGCGTCAACAGACATCGGCCTCGGAGAAGTCAGGATCCAAACCCAGGAAAATGACATGAGGGCTTGGTTCTGACGCTTGTAAGCGCTTTTTGGCAAAAGGTCCGCCGCCGCCCCGGTGATCCTGCCCCGCTTCGGAGCGGCCAGTATGAGAGCTGTTGTCGTTATCTGCATACGACTGGAACGCCTCGTAGCCCTGGATCATGCGTTGGATAAAGCTATACATTAAGCACTGGCATACCCCAGTGTTGAATTTTCGTCTCTTTCCCTCGGTGTAGTAGTCATCTTCTCTTGAAGTATTCGGGACATTCCAGGCTTGATTCTGGGACCACGACTTTCCCTGATCCCATTCGCGATTGTAGGCCATAGTGGTGATGAAAAGAGAGAGCACGTCACAAACAAACAACGTTACATAGGATGTCCGACCACGGTCAGTATTGGAGCCTTTGGTCGCAATCTCGCTGACCGCCCCCCTATGAGTAGCTCATGTAAAGGTCCATCGTGTCTGCCTCCTCTAGAACGTGTCTCATCTCCACCGCAGGTCCAGGATGCAGCGATTGAGCGGCACTCGCTCATGGTAATTCGACCTATCTGGCGCCAGCTCTTTGCTGACAGACGACCCGTCTAGCGAGAAAACCAGTACAGACACTTTCGCTGGACTAACAGGACGCTGCGGTCAACCTTTTGGGGAGCACTAGTATTACCGTTTGGCCTATACCTCGCCATACATGCAACTCAGGTTGGTGGATCCAAACTCCCAAGGGGAATGACAACTTACACTGATCATGGTGTAGAATAAGTGGGATTGGGCTGGGAAGAGGCAGGACCAGCCGTTGGCCAGGCCGTAGTCGCTGCAACAAAGAATACAACATGCAGTTATTAGACTCTCTTGCACAGTTCTATCGCAACCTTACAACCCGCGCCAACGATGCTACTTAATAGCGCATGTGCGGGAGCTCGTTGGGCGTCGTGTTCCACGGCGATATCCAGATGCTCGAGCTCATCATCTCTGAACTCTCGCACCACGTCTCGTAGCAGCGGAACGCTGGGGTGCTCGGACGGCAACGATTCCATCTGTTTGAGCTGGCTAGAAACGCGTTTTGGTCAAAAATCAGATTGGATTTCGGTTGGACTGACTCGTCGTAATGCTCTCCGATAACTGTCTCGACAGCTTCAGTGCATGCCATAGCTGCTTCCTTGCCCATTAGCGCCGTGGCTGCTCCCAGCCCAAAGCCGGCCACTTTGGCGACATCTGAAAGTATCGTGGGCCGTATTCGATGTTGAAGCTGCAGCTTGTCCATAACCGCGAGATGTTTCTTTTCTTGATCCCACATATCCTGAGTACAATAAGAAAACGCGAAGCTGCGCTGGTGTAAAACCAAACTTGAATCAAGGGTCTCAGCGCGCGATCCCTTCCAAGAACAAACATTTGGCCCATATATATATAGTTGGCGGCAACTTCGCCAGCCTGGTCGACGCGTAACGCACTGTCCAATTGTTGACGTTGGGCATGGGAGATGTTTGGGGTCGTGCAGACGGATGGATCACTTGACCTGGATGAGTCGAAGTAGACAGCCGAGGGCAGCGCGCTGTACGCTCGTCTGAGCGCCTTGAAAGGACCGAGTGCTCGTCGGGCTCGATGCAGAGTTGTTGTGATCATATATCTGTACGGTCTCGTGATTCAACTGACCTCAACTACCCTACCTCGACAACCATGTCATCGTGTGTTCCATTCAAAGCACTGCACCGACGGAAACTCACGGATACTTCAGTTTCACCCCCACATCTCCCGTAAACATGTCCAACGAAAGAGAATGGGCTTCCAACCTCGGAATGCTTGACTGGGACTCAACCAGCATCGTTTTCACCAAGAGGTCTTTGATGGAATTCCTCAAATACACAGGCACGACGGTAGATACAAACCTGGCTAATATTCAGAAGCTTCCACGTACGAGTGTCCAGCTCCCGCCGATATACGTAGCTCAAGATCACCGCACGCAGGATACGTGAAATTTGGGAAAATAGCAGACAGTGCAGATGATGCCCAATATACAGCATCCGGCACTACTGTTGCTTCTGGTATGCATTTTTTAGACCAATACTGTGGTTCATCTTGGTCACAGATGCGACCCCTGCGCCATCCACCGATTTTAAGCCTACTCGTCGTGTGCGTGAGCTGCCTGGGGGTGCCAGGACAAACATCTTCGCCGACGAAGACGTCCCTGATGCCTTGTCTACGGCGCCTCCCAAGGAGGAAATTGCTGGCTCTCAAACCACTGCGTCGACATCCGAAGCCGCGGGCGAGAAGACAGCAATCGACACCAAAGTCACCTCGGAAATCAGACCAAGCAGGTGCGTATGAGCGTGAGACGTATTGTTTCAGTGTCACCTAAGACGGTATAGGCGGGTTCGGGAGGCCCCCGGTGGCAACAGTAGTCTGAACAGTTTCTGGGGCTCGGACGAACCTGAAGAATTCAAGCCGACTCGGCGGTATAACTTTCTTGGCTAGTTTGTTGCAACTGGTTTCACTCACTTGTTTTTATAAGAGTCCGACAGGCTCCTGGAGGTGGCACTCATGATGTAAGTTGCGCAAATCCAACTTTCAGACGAAAACTCAGTGATTTCAAGATATTTTAGCTTTATTGAATGTCTGGTTGTAACCGACGACAGCAGAGGTCGGGGTGTAACGTGTACAGGACAGGTTCAAACGTTCGGTTGAAACGAAGTTTAATTACTGCAACCTTGTCGAGCTTTCTACACCATACATGCCTTCTCCGTCCAAATTTCTGGCCATGTGAAACAAGTGCGACAGTTCAATAGTACTATTTAGTACTATTTCTGCACTGGACGCGACTTGTCGCTTGTAAATCTGAAATTGCACCTGGCCCGGTATTTTAAATAAAAAATGTGGTTGAGGCGAGGATCGAACTCGCGCGGGCTCACACCCATCAGGAAGTAATGTCCTTAAATCTGACACCTTAACCACTCGGTCACTCAACCAGTCCAATAAGTTCAAATGTTGACCAGGTGAAGAGTGTGAGTACTGCATGTGAGTGTTGTTTTCGATCAATAGGACGCGACCGAGATTTTGGAAGATACAAATAAAAATCAGCCCACCAGTAAATAGCCTGTACCTCGGTCAATTTTAATACAATTGAGTCGCGAGTGGGCGCGTTCGAATCACCTCGTCGAGGCGCACACGCCTGTACCAATAAAATTTCGGTGAAACTCCGAAATTAGTTTTTAGGCCCTTGGCGACAAAAGCGCGAGGCTGCGCGCTTGTGAGGGCTTTCAGCATGCGCCAGAGGGCTCAGACACATCCCGGAAACCTCTCTAGAGGCTTTTGTCGGCACGGGGAGCGCGGTCGAAGACATGAAGCTGCCGCTGAGCCGCGTTATCAACGTGACGGCGCGTCTTGCTTCCCGACCACCATCCAGAATGCCCTCCGCTCCCCACCTTCACGTCCAGGCACCCAAACCGTACCTCCGCAAGCGCTACTCCAAGGACATGAAACTGGCTGCTGTTCGACAGCACTCGACACTGCAATCAACCTCGGCATATGCGTATGCATGCTCTTGCGTTCGACTTGGACTCTGCTTCGCGATCACTGGCAGGGGGCACTGGGCTCCCCTGTGGGAGGCTGGGGGTGGTATGGGAGTGGGTGGCGTCGTGGCCTGGCGGCTTTGTTGTGTGCGTGGCCTTGCCCCCGCTCACTGTCTTACTGACCCGGCGACCTGCAGTTTGTTCTGGGGCTCCTTGTACGGTGTCATGGCGCAAATTGCTGTAGGCGACACGAGGGGATTCTTCCGCTACTCCGGTTACCTCTAGTGTACACTCTTGATGGTACACTATTTGAAATCTACTTGCAATACAAGAACCCCATTTATGAGTTGGAAGAGACATGGTTTACAGTAATAAGAGTGGAATACAGGGATGGGAGAGAGAAAAAGATGCAGGACATTCATGCGATGCGAGAGCGAGAGACTCAGATGTTACGAACACAGCGGTGATACTGTGATAACACGGCTCGGCGGCGGCTCTGCGTCTTTGTTCGCGCTTGTTATATCCCGTTCCGGAAGAAGGGATGGAGAGCGTTCTACGGAATGGACTAGGTTCCGGAAAGAGAAATCATGTGCGTAAAAGGGTTATTCTCGTGAACATCACATAGTTGAGGATGCACAACTACTTGGACCTGCGGGCTGACCATGAGGCAGGATGAAGGAATCCGGAGGACTGGATAGAGCAGGAGAATTGCCCAGAATAAAGGCGGAGAGCGACGGACTGATGCCGAGGAGCAGTCCGAAGCTATTCGGAAAATTGTGAGAAAACACGGAGTATAAACCTGAGAAACCTCGGAGAAAACTCCGAGACATTAAGTGGAGCTATTTCGGAGCTACCACAGAAAAGTCCGAAGATTTTCAGGGCTCGGGAATAGGTCGTCAACCAGAGTGAAGGGACATTGCCGGAGGTAGATGATACATCACCTAGCTCTCAAGTCCGAAGGTACTCGGAGGTAGCGTGGGAATATTCGGAGGTTTTGGAGCTTCGGAGCTTTGGAGGTTTGAAGAAGTCCGGAGCGAGGAAACGATGTCGTCCAGAGCGAAAGGAACACAATCCAGCAGTTAAAGAAAGGATAAAATGATAAAGGGATGACCAGAGGATAGGCTGGCAGAAGTTCAAGTCAAGTTAATGACTCGAGAGAAAGAAAGCACACTATGAAGGAAGTCAATAACTGACAATTTTAAAGCTAAAGTACATAAGCGTACTACGGTAGTTTATATAGGATTTGGGAGTGATAAATATAAAGTACGGATATCATAAAATAGCTATGCTAAAGCTATGTAAAAGATGGAAAGCATATGTATGCGTGATGGGAAGCATATGGAGGCATAGCAATGCTATGCGAAGCTGTGAGTTTAAATAGATAAACGGGAAACACTTAGTAATTCTTCATAGCGTAAAAACCCGTTGCATCACAGAGTATGCACAGCGAAAACTCCGAGAATTGCCGAGAAGTGCCGAGAATTGCCGGAAAATGCCGGAAAATGCCGAGAAACACCGTCGGACTGCATACCGGAGCCGAAGTGCTGAAACAATGAAATGTCGGCCGGAATAAAAAGGGATTTAGCTTGAATATGACGGAATGCAATTGTAAGGGGAACCCCCCCTTTACGTGCTTGCTCTGCACAGCCCACAGCCTGCAGACACCCCGTACCCCCAGTCCGCATGCCTCCCGATGCCCCCACATTCCTCCCGGTACCTCCGTACGCATCCCAGTACCTCCGGGTAGCAACCAACCTCTGAAGCCCTTTCTCCGAGCCTGTCAATCCCCGGATGTCACTCACCAACATCCACGATCGGCCTCACAACCTCTGGAGCTCTCCGCACCACCTTCGGAGCTTCATAGGTTCGGCGACTCAGATGTCCGGTGATTCGGAGATCCAGTGTCTCGGCGATTCGGCGATCCGGTGTCTCGGCGACTCGGCGATCCGGCGCTTCGGCGATTCGGCGGTTCGCAGCCACCACCGAACAATCTTCGAAGGAACCATGGAAGCTTCGACCTTGGCCCGCTCTCTCTCATCCCCGCCCCCGCCTCCGCCTCGCCATGGTCTTAATGGATCAAACCCTCTCCAGAGAGTTTACCTGTCACGACCCGTCCCGAGTCGTGACCGGCCAACATACTAGACGATCGGCGATGCAGCTATATCCTGGCTGACTTGAAATTCGATGTCTCGGCCCCGACCGGTACACCGACCGGTCTTCGAACAGCCTCTGGACAAGTCACGTGCTCGGACCCGCTCGGGTGCCGAGCTGTTATGCGATTGGTTCTTATTGTGTTGAGTCATCGGACTATGCTTCTGTTCCGTTTAGTACTACTTACTATTGTTCATGTATCCTCGTGTCTGCCTCGTTCCCGACGGTATCGCATCATCCGGTCTCCGATAGAATACCGTCGTAGGTATAAATACTCAGCCATGTATCTTAGTTATTCAGTTCGTAAATCGACTAAGACTCAGCCTTGTCTGGTCTTCTTCTCCTCATCGTCCTCATCGTCTGAAATCGGGCATCGGGCGTAGCGAAGGGCGCAGCGCACGAGCTGAAGCCAAGCCCGCCGTCTTCGACCAGACTCAGTCCGACACGTCGGTCCCCGACCGGCACCCGACACCTCTGCTCGGCACCTCGGTCGTCCGTCGGCCTCGTCGACCAACCTTCGGTCCATCTTCCTCGACCTCGGACACCCTTCGGCCATCTCGGAATAGGTTCGGCTGTGCCGGGACCTTACCCTACTCCCTGTCGGACCCAAGTCAATTCGGATCTTGACAGTATTTACGAACTCACCTTCCTTACGCCCTCTCATGTCCAGAGATTCCGTGCCGCCCGAATTAACCATACTTCAGAACGCGGCACGCGACCAACGCGCATTCGCTCGAAATTTAGCGCGCGCACTCGAAGATATCTCACCACCGTTATCGGCACAACTTGCACTACCGAACCGCGACACATACGCTTCGGACCTACGCAACATCTCTACCCGCGCCATCGAAACCGCCCACGCTCAACGCCAAACCGGTCACATTGTCGGCATGTCTACTTACGTGCAGACACAAACCCAGACCTCCGACGAGCAAGGCGAGTCTATTTCCATGAGCGAACATCACCGACGCAACAGCGGTTTCCCTATTGACGATACTCGGCAAACCCCTCGCCCGGTCTCGCCTAACCGCCAACGCTCACGCACTCGTTCGCTTTCGCCATCTCGGCGCTCGGTAACATTCGGCAGGGGTCAATCCCCGCCTCGAGATAGAGGTCCGGTCGCGCCCGGTACCCCTCGTGGTTCATCTCCAAGTACTCCAAGCTCGTATAACGGTCCTCCTGCCCCTCCTCCTGGTCCTCCGCCCGGTCCTCCGCCTGGTCCACTTCCAGTTCCACCACCTCCGCCTCCGCCTTTCGGTGGTCCACCAGGACCACCAGGACCGCCAGGACCACCAGGGCCACCTGGTGGGCCTGGAGGCCCGCTCGGACCCGGCCCTGCTCACCCCATACCGCCAGTCGGCCCTCCTCTTGCCGGCTACGACGAGCAGAGACTTCTCACCTTAATGTCTCACATGATGGGCCAGGGCATCGGACAAGTGCTCGCAGGTCAACAAGCAGCCGCGCAACCTGCCGGCCGCGATAAACGTCGAGCCCGCGTCCGGGACCCGGAGACTTTCAACGGCAAGGACCCCGAACAACTTCGCACGTTCCTCTTCCAGGGAGTCCTCAATTTTAACGACCGACCCGAAGCGTTCCGATCGGACGCCGACAAAGTCAATTACATGGTCTCGTATCTCACCGACGACGCCCTCGGTTGGTTTGAGCCTGCTTACGTTAACCCGGACCCGAATAATGTCCCCGCTTGGCTCACCAACTACGATGCTTTCGTCGCGGAACTCCAGCTCAATTTCGGCACATACGATCCCCGTCAGGACGCCGAAAACGAGATCGTCGCTCACCACATGGCCGACAATCAGCGCATCCAGAAGTATCTGGTCAAATTCAACAAGCTATCGCAGCTGACCGGCTGGAACTCCGTCGCGCTTCGAAAAGTCTTTTACGACGGCCTTCCCGAGCGCATTCAGACCAAACTCCGCGACTTGCCCGGTGGGAAACCCGCTACCCTCGAGATCATGAAAATTTCGGCTCAGTCCATCGACGCCTCCCATTGGGAATGGCAGAAGGAACAAAAGCTTCGTCGCCCTCGGAACCCGATCGCATCGACCAGCAATCCGAAACCCGACTCGGCGAATAAGTCCGGCGCTAACGCTACCGGTGGCGGCTCAAAGCCGAATACGACTTCTACCCCGGCGCCGAAGGGTGACTCCAAGAAGAAGTCTGGCCGGGGGAACGGGGGGAACCCCGGACGATCCCCGGCTCAGAATGCTCCTTCGGACAAACCTTATGCATCTTTGCTCGGCGCCGATGGTAAGTTGTCAGAGGCCGAGCGCACCCGACGCATGTCC